ATAAACAAAATTTGTCTGTGCCTATAAGCATTTTTACATTTACTGTAAGTCGAACTATTTAGAAGCAATTGGCTACTGATACAATTATAGAAGTCAAATTACGAATAAAGCTCATGAAGACGCATATTATGGAGGTGATTTTGAGGATACTACAAATCATGGAACATCAAATTTGGTCATTATTGACGCAGATGGTAACGCTGTTGCTGTTACTTCCACTATTAATACGGAGTAAGTCAAATTCTTTTTATGTAATTAAAAAAACTATAGTTGTCAAAAGCACTCTCTATTTTTCTCAGATACTAACTCAAAAGTACCTTACAGTAACAGATGACACTTCTGCTAGGCCTAATATAAAATTTTTATTGGTTTTATTGGTTAAACCAAACTAGTTTGTCATTACTTTGTTATGAATACAAATGAAAATCACTTTTTTAGCTTTTATAATAACTGATCAGAAATCAATAAGGTAAGCATCAGCTTTCTCTCTCTTTTTTTTTTTTTAGTTTTGGTGCCGGCGTCATTTCAGAATCTACCGGTGTACTGTGGAACGACGAAATGGATGATTTTAGTACACCAGGTCAATCAAATTATTATGGTTATGCACCATCAAAAGCCAACTTTATTGAGCCTGGAAAACGACCAATGAGTAGCGCTAGTCCAACAATTATATTCAATCCTAACGATCCATTGGTAATAAAAAACGATAAAATAATTTCAAAAATTTATTCAACTATTGTAAAGCGATAGCAAAAGATGCTTACTTGAGAAGTTTATTTAAAAAGTGCTTGTAGAATGAGTAGAAAAGAAACATGCATTTGTTTTAAATAGCTGATATGCTGTATATATATACAAGCTGTAACCATGGAGAATCACTAGAAGTATCAGACAGAAAGTTTTGCTTCTTACAGGTTGTGATACAGCTTTTTTAAGGATACACTTGGTGTTGGTACTTCAGGAGGTTCAAAAATTATTACTGGAACCTCATATGTAGCAATTCGCACCATGTGGCTCAACGAAAACGTTAAGCAGGCAGTTGATGCAGTTCGAGTTCATAATCAACTGACACCAAATATAGTGTTTTATGAAGATGGCTTTGATAAAGTATGATTTTTACCAGCAACTATTTATTTTCATACACACAACCCTCTCAGATTTAGACATTTTTGATAATTTCTTTGAAACTTAGGATTACCACAAAGATTTGGAACATCGTGGTCATAGGCTACAACTGAAGTCTAATCTCTCGGTTGTTACTGTAGCTAGAAAATTCAAAGATGGATGTATCTATGCGAACAGCGATTACCGAAAAGGAACAGAAAGTGATCCAGCTGGTTACTGATCAAAGTATCAGATCATCTTTTGAACAGCTTTAAAAATAACCTTTCTGGCCAGAAATTTTGTATCAACGTGACTGTTGATGGATTTTAAAAAAAATGTATGTAGTTCAACCAAAAATTACATTAAATTTAGTAAAAATAGTAGAAGAAAACAGTTGGAAAAATTGTTAACCAATAAATCGCTTCTGTTGAACATCAAAATAAATTGTAAGACAATCATATAGTATGATTTTTCAGACTACATTTACCAGTCTTTTCACTTCTTACAGCGATTTCTAAAATTGCATTTTCTGAGGTGCATGCTAGTTTTATTGGCTAAGATCATGGTTTAAAATCAACCGAATTAGTGTCACAAAAGTTGAATAGAAAGATTTTTCGAAGACGTTTTGAAGACGTCTCTTAAGTACATCCAGGAAATATGCTTTTCTCAAAGTTTATTGACAAAAAAATTATAAATTATGCCATAGCTTGTACAGAAAAAGATGTAAATTTTGATAATTGATATAAGTAAATGCTGCAAAATGACTAAAGTTACGAGAAAATTTTTTTTTTTTTT